CCAGCTCGGTATCGAACAACGCACATCGACGAGCGATTGCTTCGGTTTAGTGTTGCGTTCAAGTGACGGCGACAGCGGAGGAGCAGAAAAACTTTGTAGTGCATTTCTCCCCTTTAGACAAACCTACATAGATGTTCAGGCCAAAGTTTTACTTTCTTCCTTTATTTATCAACTAGTTCAAGTATTTGAGCACAATGAAAATTTGGAACTAGACATTTCTTGTTTTGGTTTTTTTTTTTGTCAGCTGTTTTGGCCATTTTGCGAGAAAGTGTGCTCCATTGTTCATGTCTGGTGACGTCACAGACTCACGCTACAACAGCGCCGTGACGTATTTCCTCCCCCTTTTCTTCTACTAACAGCGAGGTGAGGTTGACTGAAAATGTCAGTCATCGGACATAATCCAAGTCCATCAGTCGAAATTTCACATTAGGTTGACTTCTAACCTGCGGGGTGTACTTTACTGATAAGGCTTTTTAGTCGGAAGGCATTATTTTTGTGTCATGGCCATGTCTGAGGGGAATATATGGGCTTGTTTGATACGTGATCGAAGTTGGCCGTTTTAGGCCGACAGTGCCGAGTCACGCAGTGTCCTACCGCCTTGACTTGAACCATAGCCACTATCGACATGTAACAAATGCTGTGGAATGTTTATCAATAAAAATGCTTGAAGTAGAACTGTTAAGTAGGGAGTCTCATTTGCCTTATGCTAATGCTAGCTTATCCGCTGTGTGGCTCCAGCTCTCTTCGCAGTTTTCATCTCCAAATGAGTCCGAAATCCGTGCCAGTGTTATAAAATGTGGTCGCGTTTGGCTTCTTTCCGGATGTTAATTTAAAAGTATGAAATCTCACGTCAAATCCTGACTAACTGATCGCGTCTCATGTCCCTTCCAGAATGAAGACCATTCTCAGCAGCCAGACAGTCGACATTCCTGACAATGGTAAGAAAACGCTGTTTGCTAGGGGCATCCCTTGGTGGCTAATGCTCACTTTGTTGTGTCTTGTTGCAGTCGAGGTGAAGCTGAAGGGACGGACAGTGACTGTCAATGGTCCCCGTGGCAAACTCGTCAGGGAGTTCAACCACATCAACCTGGAGCTCCGTCTGCTGGGCAGGAAAAGTAAGAAGGTATGGAAGACCAAACAAAGCCTGCCACAGAATTTTAGGGAACGTTGGCTTTCAAATGTAATTTCAGAATGATCCTGAAATGCAGTATAACTTTTAAAAGTGAACCTAATTTGGTCTTCTCAACTCAACTGCATTTATAGAGCACTTTCAAACAGCCATCGCTGCATACAAAGTGCTGTACATGGAGCAATTTAACATACACAACAAACAGTAAAACAAATCGGTAATTAAGACTTCTGTGCAAGAGGCTCTGTTTCGGTATTGTGCTCCCTGTAAAGTTTTATAATTTTTAAGAATGCAAATGTATGCCTGTTTATTGCTAATCATATTTTGTAATTTTAATCTGTGAATACCAAGCAAATGGAATTGAGACCTGTAAAAGCGGCCTGTATTGAACTGTGCTAAGAACTTAGACGTTCCTCCATATATGGGCAGCAAATGACTTTGGAACGTCAAGCTGCTAGTTTTGACTTGCTGAACAACTGTATTTCAGCTGCGTGTAGAAAAATGGTGGGGGAACCGAAAGGAGCTGGCAACAGTGCGCACCATCTGCAGTCACGTCCAGAACATGATCAAGGGAGTCACTTTGGTAAGATTGTCACTCAGCTTCAACAATTTCCAGGACTGACTTCAAATTATACCTTTGCACTTAACGATGCTTTCATTTCATTTCATTGCTCCTTTCACCATGCCTCACGTTTCTATAATCTTGTCTCACTGTAGGGGTTCCGTTACAAAATGCGTTCGGTGTATGCCCATTTCCCCATCAATGTTGTCATGCAAGAGAATGGGACGATGGTGGAGATCAGAAATTTCCTTGGTGAGAAGTACATCCGCCGCGTCAGAATGAGGACAGGTGAGTACATGGTCATTGTTGCCTTCATTTGTTGACTGAACGTTCATTGGACCTTTGCATTCTATCTTCGTGCACTTTTCTCTGCAGATAATAAAATGGGCCGTTGATAGTGGACCACTAACTGAGACTTTGTAGCATTCCAATCCAATTAACATTTTGATAGTTGGCAACAGTTTGAAGTGCCATTAACAGTACCTAAGCATTTTGTGAAACTCCCTAGTTCCCTTTGCATTGTTCCTGGTTATTGACACCCTAAGTGGGCCTGCTTTTCAGACAGAACTTGCTGGAGTGCTTTGTGGATTCGCATGATTAGATACATAGTGACATCAACTGCGTTCAACACAAATTGCCATGATCAGTGAGCTTTTGAATGAGGAAGCAAATTTGCCTTCAATACCCATCCCACATTACTCTCTTACACATCGTAAACAATCTGTGGAAAGGTGGGCTTAGATCGTCTGCATGAAAAGAGCTGTATTTAAATAAAGTTGCATTCTTGGAGTGGTTCACTGCTTACAGTATCATGGATATTCCATTGCAGCTGATCAATTTATGCAATATCGGGTGTAATTTGAAAAAAATATATATACTGATCCACTGTTTCACTAAAATTACGGAGGGATGACTTTTCTTTTTAGGGTCTTAAATTGGCAACTTCAAATTAGGATTATTGTGCCCTGGCTCCTCCGGTCTCCGCTAATTTTGAGTTTACCATTTTTGTATGAAGAAGCCTAATTGATTAAAGTACATTGAACGTGTTCAAGGCTGCACTTTGATTCAACATTCTCCCTGAAGTAAAACTTTTGTTTTACTTCTCCCAGGTGTGATGTGCACAGTCTCAGCAGCCCAGAAGGATGAGCTGGTGCTGGAGGGCAACGATATTGAGCTGGTGTCAAATTCAGGTATGTTGTAAAAGTCCATGTCAATACGTTACAATTTAGATATACTAAATCACTGTGACTACCAACAAGTGCTGGAGATTTCCAGACAATTATTTTGTAGAGCGAACTGCAATTAGTTGTATGTGAAGGTGTTGACCTGTTTTCTAAATCTGTGGCCCTCGTCTCCCTTTAAAGTCAATGCAATGGTTTCCCTTACGATATTTTTCACACCAACTTCTTCCTTTTCCAGCTGCTCTCATCCAGCAGGCCACCACAGTCAAAAATAAGGATATCAGAAAGTTCTTGGATGGCATTTACGTGTCTGAGAAGGGAACAGTTGTGGACGCAGATAAGTAAAATCTGAATCCACACCCAAGGTCAGAAAAAAGATTTTCTATGATTTTAATGGAATGCAACATGCAGTTATTGGTTTGTAAATTTTTTTCTGAAATTTCAACAGTTGACCTGATGAACCATCTCACCTCGATTAAGACACCAGAAACTTCCTTATGGCATCCATCAAGCATATTCTGTTTTGACCAATAAAGTTGGAATATTGTTTCATCATCTTTGTTTTGTTTTTCATATATGCAGCTTAACCACATGCAGGTTTGTCTTTTCACTTTTAGTCCAGACCAAATAAAACAAAAGGGAAGTTTATAAAGAAATTATACTTGCTGTATATAAAAATATTTGTTAAACTTGTCAGTGTGACCACTTCTTGGTGTCTTGGGAGTCACTTTTATACACATATCCTTTTGTATTTCGTGCTCTGGTTACTAAAATACGATTCAGGTATAGTTTCGTTTTTTTAACAATCCTGGAAAAAAAAAACTTTGAAAGATGACGCACAAATAGAGAATAGAGATTTTCTTTACCACTTTGTTATGAACTCAATCAGCCTTGTGTCAAAGAGAAAGAAATGATAGTAAGGCAAGAAGACCGCAATCTAAAATCAGGAATCCAATTGAATCCATCGAGCTGGATATATTGCTTCTTTTCCATAAAGCAGCACACATTTTGTGAGGATTGTTTGAAAGCCTGTGAAGAACCTGATCATTCCCTTCCCAACTAGCCTTAATGCACGATACTAAACTGAATTTACTGAGAATTGTTAAACCTACTCTTCCCAGTCTGCTTCCCATCCAGCTCAAAATCTGTTTCGAAACATGTCAGGTATAATTGACTCTTTGGGTGCGACTTAAAACACCAAGTAGTTTCCTCACCCATCATTGATACTGTACCTGGCATTCAAAATTACCCATCAAATGAAAACTAAACGTACAGCCATACTTCACTGTGAGACTTTACGTAATGTTAAAATCAAGCACTCAAGAAGTACCAAATTTGAAATCCTTAAAGGAGTTTGGGCGGCCAATCCATGGCCGTGATGTCAGTGGAGAAATGACAGGCGTTTTTTAAAAGTATCAAGACATTCATTCATTCATTTTCTGATCCGCTTATCCTCACAAGAGTCGCGCGGGGGGGGGGGGGGCTGCTGGAACCTATCCCACCTGTCTTCGGGCAGTAGGCAGGGGACACCCTGAACTGGTGGCCAGCCAATCGCAGAGTATCAAGACATTTTTTTGATTATTTTTCATTGTCCTGTCAATAGATTTAACATTTTTAATTATTTAGTACATATGCTTGGAAATTTCATTGTTTATTGTGTAGCACTTATGAATTGTGACGTCAAATATATTCATATAAAAACGTGATGTCTTTCTAAGCATAGCAATGCATTTTACAATTACTAATTAGGCGCGTAGTTAGTCTAAAACATACTGCTGGCAATGCAAATGTGTTTTAAACATACCGCATATGTTGTGATTTTTGTGGAAAATATCCATTACATATGATAATTTTTTTTTGAAATGTCCCAATTGTATTGCATTGAATTGCATTGTAACTGTGGAAAGGTGTGAATGACTTCGTCCAACCCTGTTAGTCTACACATTTGGGAGCGCTGGCCTATATCTAGGGTGTGTTTGGGAATGGAGTGACGGGCGCTCCAAATAACCCAACGGCACATTTGAACAGCAAGTCGCGTTTCTGAACGTTCGTCGTGAAGCATTGCGCGCTTGGAAAATATTTCCAAACGCACTCCTAGTCTTCTCGGTTTGTACCATTTGTGTTTATGTATATTCGTCTATGGGCGCTTTATCAACGTCATCTTCGGGCGACAACTAAGTCTTGCTTCGCGCCAAGTAACTGCGCGTTTTCCTCTCTCTGACAACAAACTTGAAACATTGTGGGGAGACGTGTTCACAATGGTAACGTTGTAATTGTGGCTGTCGCGTTTTCTGAAACCACAGGATGTTTGTCACAAATGTTAACTTTGATGGGAACAAAGTGTCTTTCATCTTGCAAATCCGCTTCAAATTGTTGCAAAATTGGAGCTGTTAGCTTAACTGATCCACTGTCCCGTAAACATTTGAATGACGTTGAATTATTGTACCTCGGTAAAATAAGACGTTTTGTATCCGGAGGATTTGGAAACATCTTGTGTGAGGCTCCACACGAAACTGATTCAGTAAACAATTTAGCGCTGAGTGAATTATGTGGATTTCATTGCATCTCTGTCTATCTGTCGCCTCGTTGTCAATAAGATCACGTTAGGTAGTACCCTGCTCATATTAGTTTGGTTGCTCACAGGACATTCGGAGATTCTTTGCGCCATCAGCACAGAAAGCGACTCCTAATGGAAACGCGAGCACGAAGAGGAATCCTTTTTCTTCAGAGGAAGAGTTGAAAAAGAAAGAGACCAAGGCAAGAAAATGACACTTATAGTTTAATCCTTGGAATGCGCTACATTATTGTCTCATGTATTCTTTTTCTTAATGCTTCAGATTAAAAAACAAGAAACAGACGTGAAACGTATGCATGACAAAAAACGGAAAAAACATGCAGTCATACAATCAGGTAATTATATTTCTGAAATTTGACTATGATTGGTCTTTGTAAGGATAACTTGTAGTAAGTCCCGCCTACGGTTAACCTGGTTTTGCAAAAGATTGCAATAACACTTTGAAGATGATCACACCCTTGATAAACCATCTGCTGCTACTTTTTAAAACCAGTTAAATAAGACATAACCAATGATTTTACATGACATGGAAATGGTTCAAGTATTAAGTAATACTCAGACACCAACACTATTGAGCATTTTATTTGACTACCATGCTTGTTTTTGGTCTATTCAGACTCTGACTCAGAGGATCGAGACACGAAATCCAAGAAATCTCCTAAGAAGAAGCAGAAGATCAGCAATGCTGCACAGTCTCTCAAGAAAGAGCCTGTTCACTGCGTCTTGGAAAAAGGTAAAATGGTTGTCAGCGTTATGAAAACATATCCTCGCTGAACCTTGCACTTCCATGACAATGGATATATTTTTAATCAGACTGCTACACTAATTGATCAAGAAGTACAGTGAATAGAATTTTTGTGTCATTTTTAAAAAATCAGACCAAGATAAATTATTTCAAAACTGTTGTAAAAGGCATTTTTGGATTTGTTTGTTTGTTTATTTCTAGCATAAGCCTGAAGGCTTTGTGCCAACAACAGTTCTAGCTAAAGAAAAATAACCCAAAGCATCATGTTGCCACCACCATGTTTCACTGTAGGCATGGTGTTCTTTGCTAAAAGGTTGAATACTACTGGTAGTTTCATATGTAGGGTTAATTAGAAAATGGTGGCAGGTGAGTTGACAAGACAAGCCGTCTTTGGGCAGTAGTACACCACAAACTCATTCCTAGTAAATCGAAGGCCACAGATAGACACCTCTTACAATACATTGTACATTTTCATCAGTAAAACATCATTAATTCAGATCCTATATTGTAGCATTGCCTCGTTAATCACTGAAGGTTAGCTCTACATTACTTTTTCCCCTCAGTTTTCTAAGCAGTATATGATCGTGTTTGTTTCACATGAAATAAATCCACCCAACGTTTTTGTCCAACTCCTCACTACTGTTTTCTCCCCTCCCTGCGAGGCATGCGATGTCACTGATGTCAGCAGATCTGATTGTTCTCTTCTTCTCTTCAATCACTATATTTTTTCTTGGTTATTTTTAAAACATCTTTTTCTCCTGAGTGTTCTGTGTTGCATTCAGAAACTCCACCTTCAGCTGCAGCTTTACAAAGAGTGCAGCCAACCAAATTTGCTGTGCAGGCATGTTTATTTATTTTTTCCAAGTTGACAATGCACTTCAAGTTCGCTTAGCGTGGAGGTGGTTTGAAGAAATGATGCTTGCCATATTTTTAAACTGTAACGTACATACTGGAACGCATTTAAAAGGATGGTTCTGCTTTTAAGGTGTGTCAAGGTGTTTAGTTGAACAACAACAACAAAAAAAAAAGTTGTTTTGAAAAATACTTCTTTTGATTGTAGACTCAGACAGTGACAACTTTGAGTCCTTGAAGAAAAAGTCCTCCATAAGCAAGCAAAATGGCACCTCCCAAAAGAGCAGGTCAAGTCCAGGTCTGAAAGATGCTGCAGAGTCTTCAATCAAGTCGTCCTCTGTTCACTCGAAAAATGGAGCCAAATGTCCCACCACACCAGTCACACCAAAGACGGCGCCACCCCCTCAGGCCAAACAAACCCCCACCTCTGTGTTGGACTACTTCGGCAACGAAAGCATCCAGCGCTCGGGCAAGAAGCTGGTCGCCAGCACAAAACGAAAGACTGTGAGTAGTTGAGACATTTTATTCAGTCTCATTTAAACGGTGTGTTGTATATTGTTTACTGTCGCTATCAAGGCTAACTAAACTTACTAACAACTCGTCTCACCCTCAGCCAATCCAGGATACCGATGAAATGAGCGATGAACAAATAGCTCGACAGCTGCAAATGGTTGAGGATGATGAGGTAAACTGTGAACAAAACCATATGTGAAGTAAAAGGGGTTGTTGGTTTGTGACAGAGTTCTATTTTTGTTCTTATGCAGCTGAATTTGTACAGAAATAGATTTGATGATTTATGGAATGCATTGTAAAATCATAATTACACCAAATATTTGGATAGAAGGTGATACAGCAGGCGAGAGGCTAGCTGCAAGCACATTTGCCTCGGAATTATGAGATTTGTAGTCCAGGTTCCAGACTCCCGTTGTGGAGTTTTCATATTCTCCCTATGCTTGCATAGTTTTTTTTCAGGTGCTTCACCTTTTCTTCCACATTCCAAAAACATGCATACTAGCTTCATTGAAGACACCAAATTGTCTTTTTTGTGTTTATGTGAGGGATAAGTCCAGGTGCGACCTGCCCCTTGCCCAAAGTCAGCTTTTATTTATCCGTCAACAGCTACAGGGGCCATGGTACTTAGCTTTTACTTTACAATTGTGGTGTGTTGTTTGTTTGCTTAGTAAAATAATAGAAGCAGCGCTCGAAAACGGTCGCCAATAAGAACGCCAGGTTTTACAGTTTTTGTTGCAGCTTGAGGGTAGGTGTGAGGGGCTCAGTCATCAACTGTAATGCGTTGTGCATTGTTCAGTTCTGTCCAGTTCTTCCGCATTGCTCAGTGTGGAGCTGCTTTTACGCTGCTGCAGAAATTAAAAATGAATGGGCACCGTTCTTAACCTCAAAATGTATGTCAGTACGGTTGTGAACTATGAGGACCCCTGTAATTGGCTAAACTATTGCTTTGTTGTTGTCAGTTGTCATTGGTGAACAAGATGAATAAAATTAAACCAGTTTTTTTTTTTATTCCCTCAATTGGGAATTACTTAGCTGGAGAAGCAGATTCATGAAGATGAAGACTTTGCCAGAACACTTGCCATGCTGGATGCAGAGCCACAGGCAAAGAAGGTATGACAATTTGAAGCAGTAATAATAACAGTTTCATGCCGGCATTTTTTTTTTTCAAATCCAATTTTTGTTTTGTGTTCTCATCCAGGTTCGTAAAAGCTCGGATGAAAAAAATGTGGAGGCATTCCACAGAAAGAGGAATTCACTCAGCCCTTCAAAGAACAACAGAGAGGACAGCATGTCAGAGGACATGATTGGTCCTTCACCCAAGAAAAACCCTGCTCCACTCAAACCCAGTTCCAAACTAGGGATGTTGAAGAAAAGAGACGAGGAAAAAGATAACGCGACAAAGAGCAAAGCACAGACAAAAATGAAAATCTCTCCCAAAAAGGAGCCATTTACCCTGTCAGGGAGTGAAAAGGTGCAGGCATCCAAAAGAGGGACTGGACTTGAAACTTCTCCCACTGAACCAGCGGTAAGCTCCAATTCATTATGTACAATATATAACTCACTGTACTTTACATAGTGTAATTAAAAGTACATTTAAAAGCAGTTACGGTGTTAATGAGGTTTAAAAACAAAGCAAAGAAATTTAAAAAAGGCTGACTAAAGTTACTAAATGCACGTGCAGTGCCAGAACAAGATTTTCGAAAACATGATTTTGAAAATACTTTGAAAGACTTTTGTCAAAGATATGGGAAAGAGCATCGTTTTTAACCTGAATTTAAAAGGATATACACTTTAGCGGTATGTTGTGAATTTATTCATTCATACTATTCACTTTGATAAAAGATACCAGCAAATTGGGGGACTTTTCTGTTGTAGTTATTGGACTTATCGGCAGTTGGAGTCTTGTCTTGGATTAAAAAAAAAACAACAGAATTTATCTGCGTTTGCTTGCTTGTTTTGTCATTGACAACATGAATGGCCCACTGAACTCAACAGAGGGTGGGTTCGCTCAGTAAACTAGTAGTGGTGCTGCAAGTGTGTGAAAATGTTTTCCGGCGAATGAGATCGGTAGCACGGTCACTTGCGGACCGTTTTATTTCTGTTCTCCCAATTCTGTTAGAGCACCAGACCTGACGAGGCAGAGAAGAAGAAACTCAACACTTCCGCTTACAGGAATTACCTGAACAGAGATGGACCAAGAGCACTGGGCTCCAGAGAAATCCCCACGGTATTGCATTCAGGTCATCAACACACGTCATGTGTTGCTTATCAATCGCCAACTGTCGTGGGTCTTCCAGGGTGCAGATAACTGTTTGGAGGGTTGCGTGTTTGTATTGACGGGCGTTCTGGAATCAATGGAAAGAGATGAGACCAAATCCCTGATCGAGCGCTACGGCGGAAAAGTGACGGGCAACGTCAGCAAGAAGACCACCTACCTGGTGCAGGGTCGGGACAGCGGCGTCTCCAAGCTCGAGAAGGTAGCCAACACCTCATCTTTCAGACGTCATGCTCATTTCAAGTGAGCATTAAACTGTTTTAAATTTATATTTCAACAAAAGTTGAAATATTTGTACAATTGAGGCCAGTTTTGCTGTAAAATTATTCCAGCTGAAATAATAATTGAAATTTTTTTTAATTATAATTCTGGTTCCTCTAAGGCGGAGAGTTTTGGGACCAAAATCCTTAATGAGGATGACCTGTTTGAGCTAATTAGGACCAAACCAGGGAAGAAGTCCAAGTATGAGATTGCTGCAGAGGCCGAGGTCAGCAGACAGTGCTTTCTTGTTTTTTGTGATTGAACAGGCTGGTTTCAACTAACTTCAGATATCTTTTTGTCAATACTTGTTTGTATTTATTTCATCATTTAGAGCAAAGCTTCAAAGACCAGGACTCCTCCGGGCTCGGCCCCAAAGACCAGGACTCCACCCGGCTCGGCCCCAAAGACCACTCCTAAAGCTTCAAAGATCTCTCCCTCCAAAGGCAACTCCAAGTCCCCTCACTCTCCAAGTCCCTCAAAGACTGCGCAGACAACCGGCCGTAGTGCCAAAACCATGGATGGCGGAACCCCGCCCGGAAGAGGCTCAGCTCAAACTGCTCGCAGGGAATTGGGACTTTCTTCTCAGAACTTCACCTCTTCAGCCTCAAAATTGAAATCGGTAAATGAGGACGGTGCCACTCTGCTGTGGGTGGACAAATACCGCCCGTGTTCTCTGAAGGCTGTGATAGGCCAGCAAGGGGAACAGAGCTGCGCCAACAAGCTTCTCCGCTGGCTGCAAAACTGGTACACGCATCATAGCAGCGCTGCCTCCAAACCACCAGGTAACATGCAGCCGTAGCTATCTTTTTGCACTTAATATTAATACGTAGATACATAAAACTAGTCTCATCCACTTATTTTTTCCTAAAAAGTGGGCATAAGCCTCTTATTTTCTGGTGTATAGTTGCCAGATTTGGAAAGTTTGCTGCAGGAAAAGATGACGGATCAGGTTACAAAGCTGCTCTACTCTCCGGACCGCCGGGTGTGGGGAAGACCACTACAGCGGCCCTGGTCTGCGAGGTGAGTGAGAAAGGGTAGCATTGCATTCAGCCTTGTTGTGACTGAGATCAAATATACCTCTTATTCTCCTGCGGATTGGCCGATAGGAGTTGGGCTTTAGCTATGTGGAAATGAATGCAAGTTGCACACGCAGCAAAAACAACCTGAAGGACGTGGTCGCAGAGTCCCTCAACAACACCAGCATCGAAAGCTTTTACAAAGGTAAAGTCGCTTCTGTGCCCGCGGGAACTTAAAATCACTGAGGAAAAAAAAACCATTTTTATTGATTTTACAAAAAGCAAAATGTTGTCAATGCCATACATGGCAAACTGGACTGAAGTCTCATGTGATTAGTTATACATGCAGTGTTGAATCACTGATGTGAAGCTAGTTGGGCTCAGTTCACTGCAGCCCTATGACACTTCATGGCTGTGATTGGTAGGCACGTCCCGTAAAGTCAGCACCAAGCACGTCTTGATCATGGATGAGGTTGATGGCATGGCGGGCAATGAGGATCGGGGCGGTATGCAGGTAGACAAACACGCATTGCTTCTTGGTTCCTGACCTTTTCCGGCCCATCTCCTTGATACTGACAAGCATTTGTGTCATCCGGTAGGAATTGATCAGCCTCATCAAAAATTCCAAGATTCCCATCATCTGCATGTGCAACGATCGGAACCATCAGAAGATCAGATCACTGGCCAATTACTGCTTTGATCTGCGCTTCCAGAGGCCGCGAATGGAACAGATCAAGGTATGGACATATCTTGCGGGCTTCCGAGGTGGTATCCGAAGTACAACAGGGGGTGTGGTTGCGACAGCTTTCAGAGAATAGTGGGAAGAAGTTCAATACCGGAGACTCTCTTCTCCCACCCATCTATGTTGAAAACACTTGTCGCAGTCCAAGTATTTTGTCACACCGGACTACAATTAACTGACTAAAGGCTGAGTTAGCATAGCGATGATGTTTTCAGTGGCTGATAAATCTCGTTGATTACTTTGTCATTATAATTCGTCCATCCAATAACAGAATACGGCTTCATTGAATTTTCATCTTTGTATTATTATTTTGTTTCCATAGGAGCTTGTTGTTTTGATTCATCATAATTCATAATTCCACCCTGATAATTATTTGGTCCGAATTTATGGTGCATCCCAAGAAACAACCATTTAAATGTATTTTTGTCCAACTATCCATGTCGGTGACAAAGTGACACAACAATTAGATGCTTGGCCACCAGATTGCTGAAAGTACAACCTTGTTAACCTGTTTATCTCCCTGTTGCAAACATACAACAGAATCATAAAGGGGCTCAGATATTACCCAGCATGAGTTAAAAAACAAATGGTGCTGCTTTTGTTTGGCGGTGTGCCTTGAGATTTTAAAGGACATGTGAAAAATGTGCCTTGGCTCAATAAAGGTTAGGAAAAACTGGTTTAAGATACCAAGGATCATTTCAGTGTTTTTGTAACCTTTTCCCAAACATTCAAAAATGTACTTTATTTGAAATTCTTGAGATGGATAGATTTAGTTTTTATTTATTTCAGTATTACCAAATACGTAACATTTTTTACCGATTGTGTCTCAATACATGCCCACCGCCGCCCCTCCTTTTTTCAGGGTGCTATGATGTCCATCGCTTTCAAGGAAGGAATCAAGATTCCGCCTCCGGCACTTAATGAAATTATCTTGGCGTCCAATCAAGACATCAGACAGGTTTAAAAGAAAAACAATTACGACAGGTAATCAGGTTTGGGAGCGCTAGCAGCTAAAAGTGTGCTGGCTGGATTTCCCTCAGGTGATCCATAACCTCAGCATGTGGTCAGCTAAAGACAAGGTGATGACCTACGACCAGTGCAAGTCTGACGCAGCCAGCGCCCGCAAGGACCTGAAAATGGGGCCCTTTGACGTCTGCCGAAAGGTGTTTGCGGCTGGCGAGGAGACGGCCCACATGAGTCTCATTGACAAGTCGGATCTCTTCTTCCACGACTACTCGCTAGCGCCCCTCTTTGTCCAGGAGAATTATCTACACGTGCGGCCTGCCGCTGCTGGGTGAGGGAGGGAGGCCACCTGTCCTCTTGCTTACTTCAACACAGTTAACGCTCACACGTTAGTTGCAATTGACAAAACTGCACTTTTTTAAATTTATTTTTTAGGGGCAATGCAAAGTCTCACCTTGTGCTGCTCAGCAAGACGGCTGACTCCATCAGTGATGGAGACCTGGTGGACCGACGAATCCGCTCTGGGCAGAACTGGTCTCTGCTACCCACGCAGGTACCACACACACACTTTTCATAAGTAATATGGAATTTGAGGCTCAGGTTTTTCTTTGCAAAGGCAAAATAAATGTCCTCTAAATTTGACATACAGTGAGGAGTGTTGTGAACAAACCTGCTACATTTGAATTATTGAAAACAAAATTAGGCTTCAAATTTAAAATAAATCAAGCGCTTGTCTCTGCTCTTAACATTGTGCGCATTTTCACTGGTGAACAGGGGCAACTCATGCTGTACTCCAAAGTATTTCATATGCCGTTTTTTAGCCATAACCCATTGAAAAATCCAAAATGAATAAATAAAATGAAATGGTGAAAAACAGCTTCATGCAAAATGTCCACAATTCAATCCAGCATAGTGTGGTTCTCAGGCTTTGCACATCCAGATAATCAGCTGAAGGGCTTGTACATTAGGTCTAACTGTCCGTTACGTCAAAGTGTTTTATGGCTTTTTGTGTGAGTTTGCTTTAACTGTCTTTCCTTTTGAATGTCTGATTTTTACTCCATGCGCAGCAATTTGAATGCAGCAATGATTGTTTTTAAAATGCTCTCGAAATAAAATTCTGTTGATTTGATGCTGATGATGTTGTTTGTTTGTAGGCTATCTATGCCAGTGTAATCCCAGGTGAGCTCATGAGAGGTTACATGAGTCATTTCCCGTCGTTCCCAAGCTGGCTTGGCAAAAACTCGTCGGCAGGCAAACATTCCCGCATCGTCCAGGAGCTGGCCTCCCACATGGCTTTGAAGTGAGAGCCCCATGCCAGTAACCACCACGGGGCTTTTTTGTTTCCCCTCCGGGGTGCTAAAGGTGTCGTGTGTGGCACAGGACTATGAGCAGCAGACAAGCGGTGAACCTGGACTACCTCTACTTCCTGCGGCAGGCCCTACTCAGCCCACTCCAGAAGCTGGCAGCCGAGGGCGCCAGTGAGGCTGTGCGGCTACTGGACGATTACCAGCTCATCAGGGAGGACATGGATAACATGATGGAGATTGGTTCATGGGGCGGACAACCTGACCCCTACTCCAAACTGGACTCCAAGGTCAGCAAGGGGTAGCAGAGGCTATGCTGTGGTGGGGGTGGGGTTGGCGGGTGCTGGGTTTGCTGTCATATATTTGAATGATGATGTGCACTGGTTGCGAACGGCTGCTTATCATGCTATGAAAATATCTTGTCGACGGTGGGGCTGCGGACGGGGTTATGGAAAACGTGAAGTGTTTGTCAGCGCGCTCACGCATCACGTCCGAAGCTCTCTCGATTAATGATGTTGCAATCCATTGAGGCACCCCGCGGACTACGCAGTGTGTGATCTGCCAGTATGTTGGATTTTCAATCATAACGTTTCCATTAATTGCCCAGCCAACACTATAAAAACTCAATGAAAACTTGCTGACCGGTCGATGTGTTACACCCCAAAAAAATCTGCCATCCAGAAAACTAAATTTGCTTTCCTTCCTTCCAGGTGAAAGCGGCATTCACGAGGACGTACAACAAGGAGGTCCATCTGACACCGTACTCCCTGCAAGCTATCAAGAAGGGGCGGCGCGGCGGCGCCGAAGAGTCTGAACTGGAAGTGCAGGACACCGAGAAGGACACCCCAGTGTCTGAGGATGAAGGAGAGAGCCTCAGTGTGGATGCCATGATCAAAGTAATGTCTATCAAACTGTTGACAGGCTCAATTGACCCCATCCAATCTTATATCTGCTTGTTTTCCTCCCACAGCAGAAGAAGGCCAAAGCCGTCACCAAGGAATCTAAGAAGGAAAAGACTGAGGATTCTGGGAAGGGGAAGGGGAAGGGAAAAGGCAAGGCTAAGGCTAAAAAGTGACCTAAAACAAAGCAGTATGAAGCTGCCTCCTGACCATGACCACTTCCTGTCCTTTTTCCATTTTTAAAAACCTCCCGAGCATGATCGTATCAATTCGCCTCATCATGTCTCTGAGTGTGGAGGGGGGTAGGGTGTGGGGGTTCCCCAAATCATGCAACTGCTTCTTAAGAGTATAACAATGCTGCCGTAATGCTTTTGGCTGCTCGCTTCACCCTGATCTTTTTCTTGTAAATTGCCTTTTTGTAAAATAGACAGATATGCCTCTTGTGTTTTTTTGTTCTTGAAAATCTGTATTTTCAGATCCAAAGATACTGAATGATTATGTTGCTAACAATGTTGTATCCACTTCAAATTCAAGGCGGGGCAAAAAAAAAAATCTCTTTCCAACAGGAATGAATTTGCCCACAAGATGTTCAGCTCATTATCATTAGCAATCGTTCACACATAAGGGTTTGAGATTTTCACAGCATGTGGTACCGCAGCTTTTAAGCCTCAAGGGCCAGTTTTTCAGTTGTGTCCTCATTACACATTGCAGATGCATAATTTGTGACCCTGAGGTCACTGGCCCAAATCTCAAAGATGTTTAAGCTTCTCCAGCCATAAATCACTCAAAGGGTTCACTCACCGCTTGGCTGCTGTTAGCGGAGTCAGCCATTGCTCTTGTTGCCCACAGTTAATCATGACACTCCATCTTCACTTCAGGCTAACAGCAGTCCACAATGTTAATGCAAAAAAAAAAAGTCCAGTGCAACCGCGAATGCTGCCAACCACCTCTTAAGAACATCATCACGTTTTGCTTGGCTGTGTTTTATGGCTACATGTTTCTGACAAATGGAAGCCGCCTGGATCGTAAACATGATGGAGGCTATTGCTGTGTGTTGAGGTATTTTACAGGGGCAGACCAAAAGTGCCATCCTCTTAACTTTTATTGTATAAAAGCCATCAGAGCATGAGAAGGTATACATGTACATATATCATTGATCATGTCCAATATGAGGTGCCTTATATGGTATAAAATTAAGCAAAAAAAAAAAAAAAAAAGGAAAGAGATAGCCGTCATAGGTTGTCACACCTGTCATGGTACAAAAATAAGCACAGACTATTGTGCAATAATGAACCTTTATGTACATATTTAGCATGTGTCGTGTTCTCAAAAGCTTATTTTCACTTGAGTCACAATTGAATGTTGTAATATTCAAAGAAATGTAATTCAAGAAAATTGTAATGTAGTTAAAAAAAAAATATGAGGGGAAAATTCTATTTTCTGTAGACATTTCTGGTGTGCCTTGGGAAAATACAAGGACCATGCAGTTTATGTACAGCTTGATCATATTACAGTACAGTTGGATTTTCAGTGTGGTCTTTGTTTGCTACTGTCTGTATTCACATTGCCAGTGCTCCTCTAAAAATGATGAAATATGAAAGCGACTTATTTCAGTAATACTATTCAAAAAGTGAAACTTGTGTAATGCAAACATTCAGCCCACACAGGCTGATACATTTCAAGCATCGCTGAAATCAACGTCTTCACAATATTCAAATGTTTTGACGAGCACCTGTACATTACAGGTAGTTCTATTTGGTACTGAAACCGAACCTTCCAACATTACTTCTATTTGGAAACCGGGGTAGATTTTTGGTAATGGGGGAATGAGAGTGATGCTTGCTTCACAGTACAGACAGCTGAATTTTGGATGTTCCACTGAAAATGACTAACTGAGACTGTGCTGCATGAGAAAAGTTACAGATTATTAGAGTGCATCCTTCCCCAAACTTAAACTTATTAGGTAATCACTTAAAATCCTGAATGCTATTGTATTATTGATCACTAATAGTTTGGCAAAAACTGTTTTGATCCATGTTTAATAGAAAAAAAAATCAGATTTTGATTGCTTCATCATTTGTCACAAGTGTTATGGTAAGACATGACTTAATACTTTCGGGTCACAATTCCAAAATGGGCATTGAGATGAAACAGTTAATCTTGACAATTCATTTTTCAATAACCATCCAGAAACATTTGTCTTTCACAAGTGAGCTGATACAATGCGGAAGAAAGACAGCAGCAGAGGGAGGAGTTGTTTTATGTCGGTCATTGAGAGAGGTAAGATCTTAGCCAATGAACACATTAAAAACAAGTGTTACAAATCAAGAGTGTAACTTTCTGAACAGTCCTTCACCTTTCCATCAGCAAAACAGTGTAAGTGCGCGTCTTCTCCAAAATAAGGAGTTTGGGTCTGTGGAGGAGTGACTGTCCAACTCTCACAAGGCCAGCAGAATGCTTTGGATCATGGCTGTCATCGGTGGCGGAGATTGGGATGTCAGCACTCAGAAAATGAGGCTGGGGAATTATTGTTCACTATTGTGAAGTCCCCTGGCACTTCTCAGTCAGCCTTTGCTGCTTCTCACATTTTGACCACCACCACACTGGCTCCGGCCCGGCCCAGACACAGCGGTGCCACCTGGTAAATGCAAGAACCACATCATCAGAGCTGCATTCAACAAGCACTCCCTCCCTCATTGTCATTCTCAGTGGCTTATAAAAAAATAAACTGCAACACTTTTGTTTTTGCTTGTATTTTCATGGGTACAACAGAACAATTCAAAAGTCTTCCATGTACAGGTACACAAACGCCCATTTCTCTCAAATAAAGCAAAACATATTAACATAATAAACAAGTGTTAGCTCTTCTCCATTTTTTTTTTTTTTTTTGCAGGGAATACAATTAAATATAAGTTGAACATGATTTACACATCATTGTATTTGGTTTTAAGTTGTGTTTAACACAATGTCCCAATTTATCCTAAATTGGGTTTGTAACTGTCTGGGATGAGAGGTCCAAAAGATCAACGTGGTTGCCTTGTTTATCTCTTGAACTTGCCCACATGTGATCTGTCTAGTATGCGCCAAGGGTGACATTTTGCAGCAGAGGAAGGAAACATTAAGTATACTTTGGGACAGTCGTGTGCCTCTGTGTGTGTTTGTGTACCTGAGACCACTTATTGGTCGGAGGGTCATAAGCCTCCACGGTGTTGAGATACATTTGGCCATCGTAGCCACCTACAGCGTACAGACGGTCGCCGAGGAGACAAACGCCCACTGCGTCTCTGCTGATACTCATGGGGGCCACTGCTGTCCACACATCAGTCTGAGGGTCATACCTGTTCACAGGCAGACACATATACATTTAGGGCATAACAAGTTAACCTCATAATAATTACACTACAGAACACTGTTTTTGTTGCGTTAGGTTAGACAACTGTTCAAAACAAATTTTTGCCTGCTGGAATCCAAAACAAATCTCAGTTTTTCTTTATCGTGGCAAGTTCTTGAGCTACACGATGCCTGTTGTTTCTAAATTTATATTCAATAAATGTGTATGTAAATAAAACACTGAGAAGGAATGAGTTACAAGCTTTCAAAATTAAAATAAATAAATAAATAAAACAAAATAGAACTTACAACACTATGCCCATGGATGTGGCCCGCGAAAGCAAATCAAGCATGTTAAGTTCCATGATGCTTGCTAAAGTCTGAACCAAAATTTCAAATTGTCATATGTAATCCACAATAACAGTCATTATTCTTGACTTGTGATTTTAAAACTAGTTATCCATCCATTTGTTGTGCGCTGTCTATGTAATATGTGGAGGTGATGAAGCAATTATAATGCTTTCCCAAAATTCATAACGGCCCTCCAAGTCAAACCGTAACTACAATGTGGCCCGCGACAAAAATTAGTTTGACACCCCTGCTGTAGATGATTCCAATCATAATCAGCCTAAAAATCAAAATCAACTTTTTTTTTTCCAGATTGTTCCCCAGTGCGATGGTACCTCTCCACACAGTCGCTTAGCCGTGAGGCCAGAGATGATGCAGGAGCATCGTGACCGCCTATGGCATACAGGAAGCCATGCCACGTGGCCACGCCCACGCCACCGCGCCGTTTCGCCATGGGAGCACAATCGTTCCACCTGGAGATGAAGGTCGGCATCTTAAAAGCCATCAGACGGGGGTAGAAACCAATCGGACAGCAGCAAATAGGGAATAAAGCAAGAGTATGTAGGCTGACCTGTTGGTGTGAGGGTCAAAACACTCCACTGAACGCAGGCAGGAGGAACCGTCACGACCTCCGACTGCATATAATCTGTGGGGGGGAAAAAAAAAAAAAAAAAACTTACCATCGGGGAACAACAATGAGCCCCAAAGCTAATACTGCAGAACAACTGTAGACGGCCAATTATCTATGTGAGCCCATCATTGTAAAGTTCAGAGAGCAAAGACTGAGGAGTAACAGAAGGCATTGAGCAGATAACAAGCTCCGTCAGCTCGCACACAATGTAGTGTTACTCTCAGAAGAAAATACTTGTTCCTGTGTTCATTACAATTTAGAGCCTTTTTCAACTCTCGGAGAAACTTAAGAAAAACAAGGGAATGATTTTTGCAATTCTAATAATTGTATCGTGTCAGCTGCTGCTGGGAAATTCTGACGCAACAGGAAAGGTTCAATTCGACAATGACTCATTTGGGTGCATGGCAGCAAAAATCTGCTGTTCTTGGGCTCTGTTTTTGTAAAATAAATCTCTCTTAAAATGTGACATCTGGGAGAAA